TACGGTTGCTGTTCGCGTAAGACGACCGCAACGCATCGTCTCCCGACGTTGCCAATGCTGTTTACAGAGACGTGTACAAACAGTCACGACGAACGTGCCTAGGATATTCATTTCGCTGCCTCTCGACCTTTATACCATGCGGCTGATTTCCAACCTTTTGCGACAACAGCAAGCACGAGGGGCGCTTCTAACACCAACGCGAGAACCTTCTGCCACACCACTGCTGATACTACTATTGATGCACCGCTACCTCTCACTCTTGCATACGGAGCGGGTGTGGTCCCTCGTGCGTGCTCCACCTTTCATGCCCCCACGCAACAAACAGTTTCCACCGAATGCTACGCCAACTTTTGCCAAAACAGAGTAAGAGTAATCAACTTGCTGCCCGAACGTGCTCCATACATGGACGGAAAACGGCCTGCAATCCGACGGTATGTAACTGTTATTCCCGCCCCGCCGAGTCGCCTTCATTCGACCACGGGCTGCCCAGATGTGGTGTCAAGATTTCCCAAGGTACCGCCCCTTTTCATGTTCTCCTGTCTCTCCAGTACAAGCGGTCCCACTGTCTCTCCAGTTCAAGCTGTCCCACTCCCGTAGCCTCTTTCCATCTCCCCTATCCTCCATTCCAAGCAGCGGTGCAAGCAACGACGCCCCTGATCATTGAAGACGCGGCAAAACATATCATGAGCTTGGAGTGGCAGCATAGCAAAACAAAGCCAAATGAGCAGGAAAAGCGTGACGAGCAGCACGACAAAACACAACCGATCTCGTAACATGGCAACTCCAAGTAGTACCTCAGAGTCGGTCACTGCTCGAGAACGAGAGTTTCACTACAGCAGGAACGACTTTACACAGCAAGAACTACAACAGACAAAAGCCATTGCGAGACTGTACAGAAATGCCCCTTGTAACACGGCGAGCGCACCGCAACCCTGACCCAGCCTACCCTGTCTGCTTTCCGTTGATGATGCAAGCTAGCCCCTTGAACGCCGTCGATCATCTGACGCTCCACACATATTCGCCCTGAAACGCAAGCAGATCAACATGGTGCACAGCCGGCGGGGTGAGCGGTCTCTTTGCAGCGATAGGCATCTACAGTAGTATCTCCTCGCTGGGCATGAGGCTTACAGCAGTGCAACGATGCATAGAACGCACATGATGGAGACATCGACCGGTCTCTACTTTTGCCTGATTGCTTCCATTGGCACATCATACCTGTAGGGGACCAACAGAGGGGACGAAGTCCCGTAGGACAACTTCACCTTGCGTACGTTCGTTATACGTGCAATCCGCTAACAACAACACCATCAGCCCCGTGATGGCTTCATGAGATACGGATCAGCTCGAGCGACTCCAACACCAACTCGTTCATATTTTTATGTACGATATTAGATGAAGGCATTCGTTGAGTTGCTCTCGTGTACCACGCCCCTACCATCTACCTCGTGGCCATGTGCAGTAAGTGGAAGTTTCTCTGGTTGGCAGTATAAACGCGGTAGAGCGCCTGCACACCATTCTTCCGAGACCTGCCGGTGGGTGCCATTGTTGACATCGAATCCCGTCCCTTTTCTCATCATGCAACATACTATATTTAGACTGCTGTACAAGTAGCGTTACAGCAGTTATTGTGAGAGACGCACCGTACCTGGCTCGCAAATAGAAGAACTTGGCTCATCTCCCTTCTACAGCAGCAGTACATCATGGGTCCTCCCAGATAGATAGGCGACAAAACCCAAGCTCGGATGACCCCCTGCTTGTCTCAAGGCAGGAACGCACTGCTGTCCTCGGGCCCTGTGTTGTCTGACCTGTCCGCGGTGATCGAGGCAGTGCATCCATTTCATCACCCTTGCCGACGGTTCCCGTCGCCAATACTTTGTTCAACTCGTCGAACAAACAATCGCACATGATCACGTTCATTTTAGGCGCTCTGTCTGTGCAACGGAAGTGGTGCATCGCTGTAGGTTCAGTTTCACAGCAGAGACGGTACAG